CCAAAGAGCCCAGACACAAGGACACAATTTTAATGTCAAGTATGATTTTATGTTTTTTTTTTTTATCCAAACATGATTTTACACAGTCTAGATAAAGGAATGGATTTTCAAGCTCAGCATGATTCAGATGTCCTCTCTGCAGAGTTTCTGATTCATAATCATGGTGGTCCTGCCACCCTCAGTATGTGTGTGTGGTAAATGAGAGGCAAACTGTAAAAACTCTTAAAACTATTAGAAAAGTGCTATATAGGTGCAGTCCATTTAAAGGCTTTTTGGGGGAGGTTTTCCATATCTCAGTGGACATATGTGCCATATGCTGTACAGATACAGCCCCTTGATGGAAATTTGTAATATATGGCTATAAAAACAAAGCTGATTTGATTTGACCAGTTTATTACTTTACTGACAACGGTTCTGTGAGCATGAAGATATTGAACTCCAAAGCATGTTCAGAAATTAAGCTCTTGGCACCCTCTTGTGTCCCTATAAAGTTCTTGCCTATTAAACCAGAGGATAGTATGCATTCAACCCCACAACACAAAGAGTTAGACAGCCATCTTCCTTTCATATGAGGATACAAAAGATTCAAATGGAAAGGCAAACAAAGTCAGATCTAACCAAATCCTTTCCATTAATAAAATGTTTATACACTTGTAATACTGGTTTGCAATTTGACAGTAAACACAGGGAGTAATAAGAAGAGGAAGAAAAGTACAATGAACATTTTTATGTATTGAAGGAAAACTGTGAAGAAGGTAAATGTCATGTGGAAAAGAAATTAAATATGATTAAGTTCAGTATTACAATTTAATATTGTCTCTCAAAGATTCTCATATGTACATTGTCAGTATGTCTCAATGTTACTACATTTATAGGTTTGAGCCTGGGGCTGAGAGCCACAGACAGAGTAGGAAAGTTTATAAATATGTTAGGGTTGGCAGACCCTGAGTCTGGAATACAGGTAATGTGGACTCCAGAAGTGGAGTTTGAGCCAGGAACAGAGAGTCTTTGGAGATGATTAATGAAAACATTCTTGGCAAATGCTTTCACTTTCATCCGTCTTGCGCTGGTCCAAGAATTTCACCTCTAGCGGCACAATACGAATGCCCCTCTCTGGGCTGATAAGGTGAGGTTTAGAGCTGGTGGGGGAGCCGCTGCTGCCAGGAGGAACACAGCCAGGTGAGAAGTGGAGCCAGGAAAGGAGACACTTCGACCAGGAGAGGCACAACCAGGTGAGCTCGGGCAGGAAACACTGCTGCAAGGTGGAGCAGCAGACAGGTGAGTCGTCGAGGAAGTCGTCCACAGGAAAGCTGAGCAAACACACTGCCACAGCAAATAGTGGATGTCAAAGGTCAGGCTATGAGACAATTAGGGCTAATGAAGGCTCTACAGGTGAATGGAACGAACTGGCAACAAGCTGAGACTTGCATGCTGTTTGAGTAGGACGTAGCTGAATTGGGAGCAGCTGAGGCAGTCAGCCATGCGGTGCAGCTCAGCCCGGAGTCAGAGGGAAGAGAGAGAGGAAAAAAGGGAGCAGGCATGACCAAATAATGAGAAAACACACTGTTGGTTTTGGGCTTTTCAGGGGGATTTGCTGACAGTAAGAAATATAAAGAAAAATACCAACCTTCTCCTTTTACTAAAAATAATGTAGAAAAGATGTGTGGCTTCCCGAGCTTATTGACCAAATAAACCCTTCTTATCAGAAAAGTGCAATAACTGAATTCATTTAACAGTGAAAGCCAGAGCCTTCTCAGTGACCTCCTCTATCTTCATCTCTCTTGATCCTCCTCCTCCACCATGGCTACCTTCCTCACCTGAGGGGAATAACTCAGAGGATCAACATAATCACAACTCAAATACCATGTGTCATTTTCAGTAGCACAGTGATTATCACTGCTTCCCCCTAAACACTGAATAGTGCCGCTGGCATTTAGCATGACATTCTCATCAGTCCATGTACTTTTGGTACATCAAAGCTAATTTACTATTACACTGTGACTTTAATTAAGCAGTGGTGCTGTAACTTTGCATGAGTATTGCACCAGCTGTCTTTGCCAGTTTGTTTTGGATGCTGTTAATATACACTTTGTATATGTAGAGAATATTAAGTTAGTTTTTAATAGTGCATAAAGCTACAAGGCCACTATATTGGAAGTTCATTTCTGCCAGACAAAAAGAGGAATGTTAGGAATGACAAAAGTATCCGCCATGGTCACTCATTTAAGATTCAGATGGATTCCTTGTGGAATATTCAGATATAATAAACTGGTTAATATGGCAAAGGAGAGCCAAGAGGCAAAGGCATATTATATAAGGTTCTTCAGAGAGTTTATATACACATGTGAAATGAAAAAGAATGGGGTTAGATGAGGATGGCAGATATTGGAGATGTAACAAGACAGAAGGCACACTCATTTATGCTTTGTGGGACTGCTTCCTTATAAAACAAAAAAACTGGGTAAAAAAGTTAAGGGTTTAGTTAATTGTGTGACCTCTTTATTGTACCTGGGTTGCATCAAATACAGGCAAATATACGTAACAACCTAATCACTGAACCAAGACTCTTACATGATATATGTATAGGTCTTGGGTCAATGATTAGGTTGGTCTGTTAAAATGGGAAAAACCCAAACTCAACACCATTTAAAATTTAGACTTATAAGAAAATATTGAGTAAATGTATGTTAGACACAAAGGAAACAAAGTTAATACATATGTACAGTTAACTTAACCGCCCTTGTATGGATGTTAGTTCAAATAATTGAAATTGATGTTCATTCAAAAATAAATTAAATGATTCAAAACTAAAACATCTATAGAAATTTAAATTGTTGTTTGGCAAAAGTGTCCTAAAATATATTATAAAATGGCCCACCCAAAAATCTTTTGTATAAATGCAGTTAATTAACAAAAAAATCATATTTTATTGTTGACTAATGTTGCACACAGTGACATGTGTTTTACTTTGGTTCTCTGGAAACACTGGTATACCTGTCTTTTAAAGGGGCAGTAGTTTTATGGGTGTTCTTGTGCTCTTGTTTTTATGTATTTTCTGTTTTTATTGTTTCGTTTTTAAACTGTTCTTTTATTGCTTTTATTTGTTTTGAACCTGGACCTTGAGTCTGTGATAAAAGTGTCAAAAAAAAAGGAATGTAATGTTGTTTTCTAATCCACAGAAATCACATGGTTGCCCAATCTCCATGTTTTCCCAGATAAATGTGGCACAAAATTCTAAAAGAAAGTTACTTCATGACTAACAGAATTTAGACATATGACTCTATGATTACTATTCTTCTACAACTGCAGTATGTATATAGCCTATAGTATGTGTTCATAAAGAAATGCACAAAAATATTTCCTGTGGGGAAGAGTTAGGCTGCATCTCATATGATAGCCACTGTGGTCAGATGTGAAGCTTTACTTTTAAGAAACTGTAGCATACCCCTTGGCAGTATATCACAAACATTATTCTAGTGAGTCTAAATTAAATATAGGAAATGTGTCATGTATCTGAATAAAAAGGTATTCAGCTAATATATAAAGTCACTGTCTCAATAAAGATGTAAAAATCCTGCTACTATTAAATATATAATATATTATAATAATGTAAGCATACTTTCCTCCGCCACACTCCAGCATAGTAGTGGACGGAAATGCACCTTAAAGTGGGATGCCATCCGCTATTAAATAAAAACAAGAAGAAAAAGAACTGCATTCAAAAATCCCTTATTAATATTCATATTCAAAAAGTTTGGCAAGAACAGTGGGATGATGTGAAACTGGTTGAGGAAGGCCGGCACCCTCTCCACACGGTCCCCGCTGATATACAGTGGCAAGATGTCGGTTTTCTTCCTCCTGAAGTCAACAATGATCTCCTTAGTCTTTGAGGTATTAAGGAGCAGATTGTTCTCTCTGCACCACACTATCAGCCTCTCCACCTCATCCCTGTAGGCAGTCTCATCCCTCCCAGAGATAAGCCCCACCACCGTGGTGTCATCAGCAAATTTTACAATGGTGTTGCCATGGTGGGCAGGGGAACAGTTGTGGGTGTACAGGGTGTAGAGCAGGGGGCTCAGCACACAGCCTTGTGGGGAACCAGTGCTGAGGCTGATAGCTGTGGATGTGTGTGGGCCCACCGTCACCCTCTGGCTGCGTCCAGACAGAAAGCTCTTAATCCATGTGCAGGTGGAATATGGAATTCCCAGGTCCACCAGTTTGTGGGGGAGGATGGTGTTGAACTATAATCCACAAAGAGCAGCCGTGCATAGCTCTCCTGATGCTCCAAGTGGGACAGCACAGCATGGAGGGCTGTGGCTACAGCGTCCTCTGTGGATCTATTTGCCCTGTATGCAAACTGGTGTGGGTCAGATATTGGTGGGAATGACATAATGTGTTCCTTTACCAGTTTCTCAAAACACTGAATAACCACTGGAGTGAGTGCAACTGGCAAGTAGTCACTGAGGGTGGTTATGTTGGGTTTCTTAGGCAGGGGAACTAGGATGGAGGACTTCAGGCAGGGTGGGACAGTGGACTGGGTCAGAGACTGGTTGAAGATCCTGGTGAAAGAGGAAAGTGTAGTAACTCACTTGAGAATAGGTCATACAAGTTTAAATTATACCCTGCACAGAATAGGTAAACACCCTACAGGTCTTTGTCCACACTGTAGTCAGGTAGAGACTGTAGAGCATGTTCTGTTCATATGTAGCGTTTATAATGAGCAACGTGCTTGAATGATAGCGTTAATGGAAAAAAAAGAAGATTACTAATAAATCACTAGAAAGTCTTGGGCAGTAACTGTCAGACAGCATATAAAATTGTTATTAGTTATTTGGCAGATATAGGTATTTTGGATAGGATTTAGTAGGTTATGCAGTTCTAAGAACCTTTTTTTTATTCCTTGGGCTCTATTATTGTTTCAGACTCCAGCCCAGCAGGTGGCGGTAATGCACTTAAGTTGGCTTGCAAACCGCAAATAAATTATAGGAAGAAGAGGAAGAACTGCGTTCACTTTGGTTCGTTACTGTAGGATAGCAAAGTGCGCGTGCGTTCTCTATCATGGTGACGCTCGCAGTACCAGCTGTTGAAGTTTTGAAATTATAAATATAGTAAAGTTTAAATGACAGAGATGGGTTGGTAACTTTTAAGAAGGTGGTCATTTTTATAAGTTTAAAACTCTAAACAGAGAGTACATCATAGAGAAACAAGGAGAATCATGACAGCTAACGAGGATCAAGAGGTATGAATGGATGATGATGCAGTTATAAGCTAGTTGCTGTTAGCGGCTAAGTGCTACCTACTCACTACAAGCGTGACTATAACGTTAGCACGTTAATCTAGGTTCAAGGCTCGGTTGGCAGCTTTCTGCTCGTTAGACACTAAACGAGTTAACAAGCCTGTCACTTTTTATGTAGTGTCGAAGACTTCTATTTCTACAGTAAAGTATCTGTAGCTGTTAAACCATAAATATCACAACAAACTCCATTCGAAGGTTCGAGGTAAATGTGTGTTTAGTTACAGATACGAATGTATGCAGTGCAAACCACGAATAAAGACATTTTGTCAAAAAATGTACATAAAGCCCTTCGGTGTGTATTTTAGCCGTAAAACATTAACATTATACTATTAAAATATGTATGTGATTTACCGAAGCTATCTTCCTACGTTAAGTGGTTTGAACTAATTTGATACTGTCCCGTCTCCCCAACATTCATTCACAGATGGAGCTGGAGGCACTTCGCTCCATCTATGAGGGCGACGAGTGTTTCAAGGAAATCAGTCCAGGGTCCTTCCAGTTTAGGGTGAGTAAAATGTTGGACAGGATGGCCAGGCTGGGACACAGACTCAGAGATGGGCGGTGCATTTGAATTACATGTAAAGAGTAAGTTAAACCCCTGGTTCTATGAAATAATATAAACCATACATTATTAAGAATCAAATAGTTTTTCCTGTATAAAAATGAGGCACACATGCTACCTTCTTTAGCTAACTTTGCCTCTCCTCCTACTCCCAGCTGGGGACATCACTGCTGCACAGTGGTTCTCTCCCTCCACTGAGACAAATCATGCCTGGGACTCCTTAACAACACAGTTGAAGAAGTGAATGCAAAAGATCATGTTGCATGCATGATATAAAGTAAACCTAATTTGACCAATACCAATTATAAAGCACCAGAAAAATGTTTGCTGTTGTTATTCATTCATTAATACTGATAAGCATCACATTTTGTCTCTGGCAGGGGTGGCTCTACAGGTTGCAAGGCCACCCTTGGTGCCACACCCTGGCTCTGCCCATGTCTGTACCATCCAAGTATGCTTTTAAAAAGAGCAGTCTGTGCTTCCCCAGCACCCAGTTTTAACAGGATATACATCAAATTAAAAGGAAACCTTCAAGATGCTTCTCCACTGGTATTAAGACTTTTGAGAAACTGTTAAGGTTGATTCTGTAGTAGTAACATGTCTTACTTTCTATTCTGTATCACAGATAGGAGACCTCGAGGACAGCAAAGCATTCATCCTGGATGTGACATGGCCAGAGATGTACCCTGAGACAGCCCCACAAATCTCCCTTGATGCCTTTTTCAACAACAGGATGTAAGCTGCAAACACAACATATTGTCAAATATCCCTCTTCTGTCATGCTTTAGTTTACACCAGTCAGTCATAACTTTATGACCACCTGTACTGTGTACACAGCAGTCAGTGTGGTAGTTGGTTGCCACTTGTGCAGCTCACTGCATCTTCTGTGAATCTGTTTGCTTCCATATTTCTGCTGTCAGGAATAACACAAATGTGTCGGAGACTTGGCTGTTTCTTGGTTCTATGGATGGCTAATGGATGTCTTCAGACTGAGTTTGTGTCTGCAGTATGATACTTGTTCTTGGACCTACAAATACTTCTTAATATGTTCTTTGGTCTTTTTGTTATTTTGGTTCTATAACAGCTCTGCAGAGACAAAGCAGCTGATCCTGTCAAAGCTGGAGGAGCAGGTGGAGGCTAACCTGGGGACTGCAATGATGTACACTCTATTTGAGTGGGCCAAGGAAAACCAGGAGGCCCTCATGGAGAACCATAAGCCTACTGTGACTGCTGTAGTAAGTACTTTGCACTAATGCAGTTTTTACATTTCTCAGTCTTATGTCCATCTTGCATCTGATTGCTGTGCTGTGACGTCTTCTTCCTTGAATTGGAGCTCTTTCTTTCCATATGTTGCAGATTTTAAAATTTTCTGGTAATGCGCATTACCTTTTGGGAAAGGTAAAGGCATAGCAAATCTGATATCACCCAGTACTAGACTGAAAAAGTCTTACTTCCTTTCCTCATGTGCTGCCCAATTTCACTGAGCATCGGTTTTAGAGCTCCATAATTTTATGTTTGAAAAAACTTTGCGTGGGTATTGAGAGTCATCAGGTTCAAAGCAGATGACTGCAGTACAATATTTTTTGTTGTTGCAGACATTAACAAGCAGCAATGAGGCGACTACCGGCTCAATGGCCAAGAAGAAGGAGAAGAAGGAGCAGCTGACTAAAGCTCAGAAGAGGAGGATCATCAACAGAACAGGTACATCAGTCAGGCTAGCCTTCAGCTGGTAATACTGGAGGATCCTTAATGGTCTTCAGTTGGCCATATTTATATACACTGCCATTCAAACATTTTGTGTCAATAGTGTAATCCAACAGCTAAACACACTTCCTACAACTGAAATCAAATACTGTTAGGATAGACAACACTGTTGCAGAAGTTCCTACAGATGCACTTGTAGGTTGCTTTGCTTTCACTCTTCATCTGAAATGTCAAGGACACCGTGCTCCCATTCCATCATTTTTCTTTCTCCTCTATCCACTCACCCCAACCGGTCGAGGCAGAAAGCCGCCCACCAAAAGCCGGGGTCTGTCGGAGGTTTCTTCCGTTAAAGGAGTTTTTCCTCCCCGCTGTCGCGAAGTGCTGCTCAGGGGGGTTTGTTGGGTTTTCCTCATAACAGTGTAAGGTCTAGACCTGATGATGTAAAGTGCCCTGAGACGGCGCTATACAAATAAATTGAATTCAGTTCTCCACAGCCTGGAGCTGTTTTATGGGGATCACTATCCTGCTATAGGATGAAACCCTGAAAAGGTCTGACTTCCTTCATGAGTGGCTTTTTTGCAAATACTGCTTCAGAGGGTGCAGGAACAGACTTTTCCAACAATACCTTTGTACACACAGAATCTGTCTGTCAGTTGACAAGGCTTCATTTACTTCCACTGCTGCAGGAAAGATGGAAGTTACCATGTTATTTGGCCCCTGAAGAAGGCCAGTTTTATGTGAAATTTACACACATTTTAAGTTTTTGGTGGCTTTTTCTAACCTTATAGTTTGTATCTTAGCTTTCTGTCATGGTTATTCACTGAACTTGAACAGTAGTGTATCTTATCAAAAAAAAACACACTAACCGATAATGGTCCCTATGCGCATAACCTAAATGAATTTGGTGTGCATAAATTAAGAGACCAGATCCACCAGGGTCTGAAGCACAGTCAGAGCTGATCTTACTATATGCAGTGATAATTACACCTGATCCAAAATGTGGCTGACCCAAACAGGGCAACACTGACATCAGCGAGTTACAGTCACAACAAGCAGCAATGCAGTGCATGTCGTTCTTATTGCACTCCACTGTTCACACACTGCCTGCCTCAAAAATATAGACGTATAGACACAGCACTGAGATGTGCTTTAGTACCTCAGGGCCCTAGCTGGCCTGATTAGACTTGACATACTTTGGTCTTGGAAACTAGGTACTAAGAGGACCCATGTTAGACCTCTGTTTTGAACCTGAGCAACCATGAATTTACTCACATTATCCATACATATACTATGAATGGTCTCTGTTACCCTATAATTACCTTATGTTATATGATGTTTACAGTGAGAACAATAAGAACAGTCAAATCCAAGACACCATGCCATGTTTACATATTTCCAGTGGACCCACTTGCTGTGCCTTTTCTTATGCTCCTTAGGTTTGACTGTCTTGTAACAATGATCACAGCCTATATTTTAAAGTTGGTAGTGATTCTCTGGACAGAACGGTTAACAGGAGGATTTGTGCTTTCAGACAACAAGGGGGAACTGCCCAGAGGTTGGAACTGGGTTGATGTTATCAAAGTAAGTGCAGTTTACATTTTCTCCACTAGTAAACACCTTGTCTCACTGAGCCTGTAGCAACAGTCTTAATAAACCTTTTCATGTTTTGTGTCTTTTCTCCCTGGTATTTGCTATGTTCATTCTCCAGCATGTAAGTGAAAATAATCTAAATTACCATTTATTCAAACAGTCCTTGACACAAACAAGTGTTATATAGTTTTCTTCTTTGTTTCAGTTGAGTAAAACAGGAGGAAAAGATGATGACTAAGCACGAGGGCAGTGATCTGCTGCTACTATATATATGAAATTGCAGTGAAGTCTGAAATCACTGCAGCCTGTTGATGCTGCTGCTCCCGTCTAGATGCCTTCACATCCGACCTCACCAACATGTTACACTCACAGTGACCTCCTCCACCCTGAGAACTGAAGCAGGCTGGGTAACACTGGACTTCAGGATACACACACATTTTGAGCTGGGATTTATTAGAAGCCCTTGCTGTTTTGTGTTTGTGAATGTCAGCCATGTAGAGGAACATGTGATTAGGTGTTTCACCCAGATATTCAGGGTGGAGTGTGCTTGAGACACTTGCGGTCACTGCTGTGTTTTCAGTCTGAGATTAGGACCAGCTGCCAGGCACTGGAGCCTTAATGTTGGCTTGTGGTACTGCAGTAAGTGGATGTGTCAAAGTGCCAAGCTGTCAATCTGAGTTATCATGTGACTTTGTGAAAGTGGAGAAATTTTTACCAACACAAAAAGGTTACACCTTTCACCATTTTATTTTTGGTAATTGTTTCCTTTTCCATAAGATTTAAAAATGTTTTTATATAAATAAACCTAAACTTGGTCTACTGCTTGTCTAACAGTCACTTACCATTGGTTTTATAAATTGTGTGAAAAGTTTGAGTGCTTGATTTATGGGAATATCTAGCTTCTCCTACAGCAGCTGTGTATGAACAGCATTTACTTACCTGTTGGTTTGTTCACATCATTGCTCAAAAGGTATAATGAATCAGTTATGACAGTTTGTAGAGAGGCAAGGTGTTGCCCACACAACAATCCATTAATTCTGGTCCAGGAATTAAAAAAAAAAAAAAGGATTCTTCACCATTGTGAGTTATGGCCAATTAAAATATTTTTGCTTCTAACTCCATACATGATGCCTAGTGCTTGGACATAAACTGGAGGATAACATCCACATAAAGTTCTACCACACAAACCACATGTGATCTGATCTGGTTACACGTACTGTATAGGGCTCATGGAAAACCAGCTACAGTGACAGAACAAAGCTGCGGACTTGCAGCTAAGATCAAAATCGAACTGCCATTGTTGACTCAGCGTTGAATCATCTTAAAACAGATGCTGTGGTAGATCTTTCAGAAAACTGCCATTAGTGAAATATTTTTAATAACTTCTGAACTAAGTGTGATGCCAACTAATAAGAGTAGGTTTTCATGGTCAAGGAATCATGAGGGTCAAACTATCATGAGAGTCATACTATCATGAGAATATTGCTTTAAGGTGGAATGACGTGGAAACTGATCTGCTTGGGTGGCGGTTTGCTCTCTCAAAGTGCTGCCTAGTTACAAACACAGAAACCCAAAACATGACATCTGCCCTGTATGACAAGCTAAAGAATCACCAAAGTCATCAGACTTCATCTTATGAGGATCGGGCATCTCCCTTCAAAAATTTATTGCAACAGTAACTGAGACAATACTTAGTTTTAATGAATATAAAAGAAATTTACACTATAGTGAACCAGTGAAAAAGTCCACAACCATGACATTGTGTTCCAGTGTCCCATCAGTCATCTCAATTAAATATCAATCTCTTATAAATGTGCATTTATTCTCTACAAGCCACAGTTATATAAAGACAGACAAATTTCAAATAATTGAGTACAATTAGGAAAGCTAAAGTTTGTTTGTCTAAAACTAAA